CAAAAGGCTATCTCTGGCTTTGCTCTTTGGCACTGTACTTGCTGCCTGTCTCGCAATCTACCATCAAGGCTTTATCTTGCACCTTCTCACTGGCTCTCAAGTAGCTTCGGCTGAAGCTGACCACAACCACGGACAAATCAAAGACTTACAGACAATCAATCCATGGAACAACAAATAGAGCTTCCAATGATTCTCCTTTCAAATGTGACCTGACATTTTGATCTTTAATTTTGTCACAGACTATCCAGTGAGTATTTTTTCTTTTTGGATTAGGTCATTGTGTTATATTTTGTTGCCCATTAAAAGCAGAAAGAAAAAAAAAAAGAGCTGGGCACTGGTGGTTCATGCCTGTAATTCTAACTACACAGGAGGCTGAGATTCCAGGATTGCTGTTCAAAGCCAATCCTGGCAGGAATGTCCATGAAACACTTATCTCCAGTTAACCTCAAAAAGCCAGAGATGGAGCTGTGGCTTAAAGTGGTAAAACACTAGCCTTGAGGAGAGAGAGAGAGAGAAAAAAAAAAAGCAGCAAGGATGGGAATCTTGTAGACACATCAGTGAAGATTTATTCATGGGAACTCAGTCCTTATGCTAGAAAGCAAAAAGGAGACATTTTTCTTTTTGGCAATGCTAGGCTTTGAACTCAGGCCCTCATGTTTACTAGGCTGGCACTCTACCACTTGAGCCATGCCTCTAGCCCTAAGTTCTTCTTAAAATTAAAAAAAAAATTATCTGGAAATGGAGTTTAAACATTTGAGGAAGAGCCATGATTTATTTTGTCAATATCAGGGAATGTTGTTTGTATGTTATTTAATAAATGATTGTTGCTATGGTATTTTGTGAATAGAACATTGTGTAGCTGGGAAAGAGTTTCTAAACTTTAGGGGTATTGACTCAAAACCACGGAAATATCACATCTAAAAGAACCCCGGACCCTCTTAGGACAGGTCCTTAGCCGTTACATGTAGATTAGCTGTTCTTATCATGCTATCTTGTCATCTCTCCATACGCAAGTATCTTGTCTTTTGGGCTAGATGGTAAGCTCCTTGTAGGTAGGCACTGGGTTTTATAGTTTGGGTCTGATTGATGGAACTGGGCCTAGAGGGAGAGCACCACCTCCTTACTAAGGATTATCTTTTTGCTGTCTGTTTCTGGGTCTGGAACCTGGGGTCCTGAGCCTTTGATGCCTCCCCTAGATACTTCCACCAGGTGGCGCTCATTCCCCATGTCTGTTGTGGGTGTCGGCGGCCACATTGCCCTTTGCTACTTGCCCATTCCTTCTACGATGGTAATGATGGGACACTGGTGTAGAACCAGAATTCCAAATCAAGGCGAGTCTTTCCAAGTGTGAAAAGATCCCTAGGAGCTAGGAATATCTACAGAGTAGAGACGTGGCGTTGCTTGGCAAAGCCTTTTACTTGAGCGCCGATCCATCTTTACCATGTGACCTGTTGGCCAAGGTCAATTACAAGGTGTTTTGTTGGTCTTATCAACTGGAATCTTAAGATTCTGCTTCTACTAGTGGAATCAGTAGCACTGCGGTGTGAGTCTTTGCTGTGTTGTTTGGAGATGGCCATTGAAAGAGAAAGATGGACAGGAGGGAGGTGGGCAGCTACACCTTGGCTAGGGGTTGGGCATGTGGTTACTGGTAGAGCGCTTGCTTTGCATGCATGGAGCCCCAGGTTCGATTCCTGAGCACCACACAAGCAGAAAAAGCTGGAAGTGGTGCTGCAGCTCAAGTGGTAGAGCGCTATCCTTGGGCACAAAGAGGCTCAGGGACAGTGCCCAGACCCTGAGTTCAAGGCCCAGGACTGGCAAAAAACAAAAACAAAACGCATGACTTCTTGACATAAAGGTGAAATTCAGATTTGCATATCCTTAAAAAAAATCAGTTTCTTGTAAAAACCCTGTATTGCATATCCTTAAATCATCTAGTTTCTTTGTTCAACAGATGGTTTACCAAGGTGGGATATGTGTGATCATGTTTAAATATTCCGTAAGATGCAAATAAACTAATGATTTTAATGTAAGGTCCATTCCTGGACTGCGAACAGACCTCGCCCAGTACCTGCGTTACCTAGGCAACTGGGATACCTGGAAGAGGTCACATCCGCATCCGCTGAGGTCACATCTTAACCTGATGTGGCCACACCTTTTTCCCACCTGATCCCACTTCCCTTTACCTGGACACACCCTTCCCCACCCCCTACCCTATATATGGCCTAAACCGCGGCCAGACCGCCCTCTTTTCCTTTTGCCAGCCGCGTGGAGTGCCAACCTTGCCTGGTCCCAGCAGGTCTACTGAATAAACCTACCCCTTACCTGAATACCACGTGCGTGGTGCAGTTCTTACTCGGCCACCTCTTTTTAAAAACCTAACATTTAATACTTCAGTTGCAAACGTTGTATCCAGATGTTACAAATTTATAACATCACTGGGTCTTTCTGAATTGCTAGTCTCTGTTTGTTTGTTTTTTTTTCATTTTTTTAGTTTTTTTTTGAGGGCGGGGCTCACACTCATTTGGCTGGCACTCTACCGCTTAAGCCATGCCTTCAGTCCAACTTTTGTGCTGGTTATTTTGGAGATGGAGTCTTTTCTGCCCCGGCTGCTTTTTACACAGTCCTCTGTATCTCAAGCCTCTGGAACAGATAGGATTACTGCCTCCCAGCTTGGATTGCTAGTTTTATAATACCATGATAGCTGTAGTTCTCTAACCCAGTAGGTCCTATTGGTTTTTGACGGGACAGATAGACAGACACTGAGGAAGTCTGTGGGCTATTCTACAAGGGAACAGAAAGCATGTGTTCTTCTTGAGTTCCCTGAAGCCCCGCTGTGGACCCACCCCCCAGGACACACAGGCTGTCTGACAAGGCAGTGGTATCTTCCCTGAAGTCCTAGGTTTGTTGCTATGTTACAGCCAATCGAAAAGCAGCTAATGTGGAATCTAAGAATGGGGCTTCTGGAATCTCACTTCAGTTCTGCCACTTCAGAGTCCTGTGATCGTGGTCACATGGTTTGAGCTTCTGGAATCTCAGTTTCTGCATCTCTAAAATGGAGATAGCCAGGTGCTATTTACAGGTGCCTGTAATCCTAGCTGCTTAGGAGGCTGAGGTCTGAGGATTATGGCTTGAAAGTCCTAGCCAGAAAGTCCATGCTCCTCATCTCCAGTGAATCACCAAAAAGCCCAAGACGACACTATAGCTCCAGTGTTAGTGCCCCCGCCTTGAGCAAAAAAGGAACAGCGCTCAGGCCCTGAGAGAGAGAGGGGGGGGGGGAGGTGGAGGGAGAGAGGAGGGGTGGAGGGAGAGAGGGGGGGAGGGAGAGAGAGAGAGGGGAGAAAGAAAGAGAGGGAGAGAGACAGAGAGAGACGGGGGGAGGGAGAGAAGAGAAAGTCTTTCTTTCTTTCTTGTCAGCCATGGGACTTGAACTCAGAACTTGGGTGCTGCCCCTGAGCCCTTTTGCTCAAGGCTAGCTCTGGTTTTCTAATGGTTAATTGGAGATAAGAATTTCATGGACTTTCCTGCCTGAGCTGGCTTTGAACTGTGATCTTCAGATCTCAGGCCTCAGTAGCTAGGATTACAGGCGTGAGCCACCAGCTCCCCACTTTAGTTTCTTATTAATATAACTGCATCTCATCTTATGACACCTCATTTTCTTTCTTTTTTTGGGGGGGGGGTCCGGTTGTGGGGCCTGAACTCTGGGCCTGGGTGCTGCCCCTCAGCTCTTCAGCTCAAGGCTAGCGCTCTACCACCTGAGCCACAGCGCCACTTCCGGCTTTTTCCTTTTTGCTTACATGGTGCTGAGGAATCGAACCCAGGGCTTCAGGCATGCAAGGCAAGCGCTCTACCACTGAGCCACCTTCCCAGCTCCCTCATTTTTCTTATTTGGAAACTAGGCTTAATAATAGAGGTTGAATGCCGAGGATGTGGATTAATATAGGTGAGGTACTTGGAAAGGGATCCAACTCTACTTAGAAAGTGCGATTTGGGAAGATCTCAGTTCAAGGCCAATTCTGGGGAATAATTAGTGAGACCCTATCTCAGCCAACAAACTGTGCATGATAGTTCACAGCTGTAATCTTAGCTATGTGGGTAGAAAGATCATGGTCTGGGATCAGCCCTGAACAAAAATAGGAGATCCTATATGAAAAATAAAACCAAAATGGGCTGTGGGTGGGTGGGGTGTGAGACTCTGATCTCTAATAAACTACTAGAAAACCAGAAGTGGTGCTGTGGCTCAAGTGGTAGCATGCTAGCTGTGAGCTCTGTGTGTGTGTGTGTGTGTGTGTGTGTGTGTGTGTGTGTGTTTTATTCGTTGATGCTGGTGCTGGGACTTGAACTCAGGGCCTGGGCAATATTCCTTAGCTGTTTTGCTCAAGGCTGGTGGTCTCCCACTTGAGCCACAGCTGCACTTAGGGCTTTTGGGTGGTTAATTGGAGAGAAGAATCTCACAGCTTTTCCTGCCTCAGCTGGCTTTAGCCCTCCATCCTCAGATCTCAGCCCCCTGAGTAGCGAAAAGCTACTAGTTCCTAGTGAGTTCTGAGGTCTCTCTTTTGGTGTGGATCCTAAACTGCTGAGCAGCCTTGAGTCAACTTCACACCTTTTCTGTGCCTTTGAGGAGTAAGAGGCGTCAGAGGATGTGGGAGAGGTTGGTTGTCATCACGACTGGGAGTCCCACTGGCGTTTGCTTCCCAGGACCAGTGATGCAGTGGTCCTGTAATACAGCAGGTGGGTGCCTCGGTGAAGAACTGTCCCACTCAAAGGTCCTGTGGTCACCGGGACCTTCCCTCATAAAGTCACCGTTACCTAGACGTGCTGGGCATCAGTGTCACACGTAAGGCTTTAAGAATCGCTCACATCTCAGGGGCAGACTAGGCTTGGGCCAGATATTGACTAATTAGCCAACTTTTTGTACTTGGCACTAGAAACACTGTATGTAAACTGAACTTAAGAATCACAAGTCGGACTTACCTCCATTTTTTTTTTCTTTTGTATTTCAGATACTGTTGGGATTTTCAGCCCCAAGGTGAGTACTGTTGGGCCAGGGGTAGTTGTAGACTAAAAATGAGCAGATGCTGTGCCTGTCTCTTCTAACTTGCGTCACAGAGTGGAAGTAGCCCTCCTCCCCTCCCCTCCCCTCCCCTCCCCTCCCCTCCCCTCCCCTCCCCTCCCCTCTCGTCCCCTCCCCTCCCCTCCCCTCTTCCTCTCTCCCTTCCTTCCTTCTTCTTTTTTTCTTTTCTTTATTGGCAGTACTTGGGCTTAAGTTCAAGACTGCATTTGTCAGGTAGCTGCTCTCTCATTTGAGTAATGCCCCCATCCCTTTTTTGCTTTAGTTATTTCTCTACTAGGACCTTGTATTCTTGCTCAGAGCTGGCCTCGGACCATGATCCTCCTAAGTATGGTCCTGTAGCTGGAACTACAAATGTGTGGTACTATGCCTGGCTTATTGGTTGAGATAGAGTCTTGTTAACTTTTCCCCTTGGCTAGCCTTTGACGGTAATCATCCCTCTTTCCATCTCCTCCCTCCCTCCCTCTCCAAGTAGCTGGGATTATGGCCAGGTGCCACCATGCCCGGCGTGACAGTAGCCATTTCTGAGGCAAGTTAGTGGAATATTCAATTAACCTTCAGCCTGCTGGGCACCCCTTGTGCTGCCTTTTAGCAATAAGAAGCTCTGTTTCTGCCTCCTGACTAGATGGTTGCTAGACGGTTTTGTTTTCTTGAGGGGCTTTGTTAGATACCAATAGGATCCAGTAGCATCCAAATAGGATGGTGACAGAGTCCATATTAAAAATCTTGGGTGGGATCCAACTCAGTGAATCCTTCATTGGCTCCAGAAGTAAGTTCCAATACGTTGTCTCCTCCATCACCCGCGGCCTTCCACAGCCTGCCTGGCAGCAGGGAAATGTCAGAAGCGAAGGCGGCTGGGAAGTCCCGCGAGAACCCTGTTATCTCATTCTGCTCTGAGCCTCAGCGCAGCCGTGGTGCTGCTAATTGCTTCCCAGCCATTGTCTCCCTGCTTTTTGCCTGATGAACCCAGCATCTGGCGTGATTCTAAAAAAGTACAACAGACAGCTGTGTGTAAAATTAAAAAAAAAAAAAAGGACAGAATTTAAAACACATTTTTTTAAAGGTTCAAAATCAGGATTAAAAAAAAAAATAATCAAACCACTTGAAGGGATGTTGAAGGTGCTGTGCCTCCATTCTTCTTAGTTCCCTGAGAATGTCAGAAGCATCCTCCTGAATATTAATCACCCACGGCTGTTGCAGAGGGAATGTTTAACAATCTTCTCAGAGAATCCCAGGCTTGCAGATCAAACCTGCAAGTAGCTTTAGGAACTGTTTGACTCCTAACTAAAAAAAGCACTGTAAACTTTTCCAAAGTTTGTTTATTTCCTTTCTTCCTTCCTTCCTTCCTTCCTTCCTTCCTTCCTCCCTCCCTCCCTCCCTCCCTTCCTTCCTTCCTTCCTTCCTTCCTTCCTTCCTTCCTTCCTTCCTTCCTTCCTTCCTTCCTTCCATCCTTCCTTCCTCCCTTCCTTCCTCCTTCCATCCTTCCCTCTTTTCCTCGCTCCCTCCCTCTCTCTTTCTGTCTTTTTTCTTCTTTTTCAGTTGAACTGAGGATCTGGGCACTGTCCCTGAGCTCTTTTGCTCAAGGCTAGCTATCTACCACTTTGAGCCACAGCTCTACTTCCAGTTTTGGGGTAGTTTGTTGTAGATAAGAATCTCATAGGATCTTTCTGCCTAGGCTGGCTTTGAACCACAATCTACAAATCTCAGCCTCCGGAGTAGCTAGGATTACAGATGTGAGCAACCAGTGCCTGTCTTTCTTTTTGTGCTGGTACTGGGGCTTGAACTCAAGACATTGTTCTTTAGCATGGCTTTTTCACCCAAGGCTAGCATTTGAGCCGCAGCTCCATGTCTGGAGTTTTGGTAGTTAATTGGAGATAAGGGTCTCATGGACTTTCCTACCTGGGCTAGTTTCAGACATGATCCTCAGATCGCAGCCTCCTGAGTAGCTAGGATTACAGGCATGATCCACCAGTGGTAGCTCTCATAAAACTTTTAAGAAAATAAACTAGATACAGGGTGCTGATGGCTGACACCTGTACAATGCTGTTAGTATCTACCTCACAGTCATTACGAGTTGGAATGAGTTCTGGTAGCATGGTGGAGTCTTGCTTATGTGGAATGAAGCACTCATAAAGCGGTAGTGAGTATTGTCTTACAAAGTTTACGGAGCTGGCCAAGTGCGGCATCTATAGAACTTACAACATGTTTAGTTCACATTTCTTCCCATAAACCTCATCCAATCCAGCTGAACTGGGTGTGGGCTGTGCAGCCCATTTGCATTTCTGAGAGGCTTGCCCGTGTAGGGTACATGCACAAAAGTTTTCACAGTAGACTCTTGAGGGGTGAGATTTCTGAGCTTGTTGCTCTGAAGCCTGTTGAATGGAATCAAGACGTTGCTCAGCTTCCCATCTCTCACAACCACATACTTGGAGTAAGGAGTTAGGACAACTGCAAGAAGCAAAGATTAAAACAGCCAAGAAAGACCATCTTCATCCTCCCTTGAGAGGGAGGGGTGGAGGGCGGTTCTCTTTGAAGTTGAAGAGACGTGTTTTTGACTTAATGGACTGTACAGTGATTTTTCACTAAGTGTTATTTATGAAACTACTCTTTGCATTCATGCCAGAAGGTTTTTAACACAGTCGTAAGTAGGACTTATACAAAGAAACAGAGTCCAAATTTATGACGTGTTTGCAAATGGAAGAAAAAGTCTGAATTTACACGATTTGTAATTTATTGTGAAGTATCTTGCTTTCACTATGCCTGGAATGCTAATATTTTATAAACACAAGCATTGGTTATGGACTTAAAATATCCTAACCTATACTTACTCTTTAAAAAAGGAGGTTTCCAGCTTGTTTGGGGGAATTAATGGGAGAATGGACGTGGGATGACTACTCTTGCCTTTGGCTTTGGCCTAGTCTTTAGAGCATCAACCATCTTGACAGCTGTTTTTGTGCCTTGCCTTCTTTCGAGTATTTCTCCCTTTTCCTCATTTGCTCTATTTTGTACAAATGAATCTGTAGAAAATAGATGCACACGCAAACTGATTTTGTAGTAAATTACTGACTTGGATACCTTTTCAATTATTTTCCTTCCTATACATTTATCGCTCGAGTTAAGAGTGAACTAATGTGATGTGTATTGGTGGCTCACGCCTGTAATCCTAGCTACCCAGGAGGCTGAGATCTGAGGATTGTGGTTCAAAGCCAGTCTGTGAGGAGCACGTCTGTGAGACTCTTATCACCAATGAATGCACAAAAACACCCGGAAGTGGAGCCATGGTTCAAGTGGTAGAGCTGTTGCCTTGAGCAAAAAAGTTCAGGGTCAGTGCCCAGACCCTGAGTTCAAGGTCCAGGACAAGGATGCACATACACAAAAAAGTGAAATAATGCATTTTTAAACTAGTATACTGTTTCAAAATTACTGTCAAATTAATTTTTTTCCAAAAAGAATCCCCCTTTTTACCTTTTCTAAAGTTGACATTTCTAAGCTTTTTATGTCTTTTCTAAATGTCCCTTTCTGGAGTAGATATTAAGGCACAAGAGAAAAAAATAACCCAGCTTCAATGCAGGTAAATCATGGACTCGGTGGTACTTTCTGTATTCCCTGCAAAATGTACCATGAATAAGAATAGTCATGCCAGACACTGCCATTGGTTCACGCCTATAATCCTAACTACTCAGGAGGCTGAGAGGTGAGGATTGAGGTTTGAAGCTAGCTAGCCAGGCAAATCTGAGAGACTCTTATTTCCACTAACCAGCAGAAAGCTGGAAGTGGAGGTGTGGCTCAAGTGGTAGAGCATCAGCTTTGAATAAAAAAGCTGAGTGAGAATGCATGACCTTGAGTTCAAGCCCCATTACTGTACTGGCATATGTGTGTGTGCACGCATGCACGCGCACACGCATGTGTACACACACAGATATTCATTGTGGCATGTGTGAAATTCAAAGACTCCAAACAGCCGTAGTGTCCAGCAGTAGGGGACTTGTTCAATAAATGATGCTATGTCCCTTTTCATGGAATTGAAAGGATTTGGTATAAATATGTGCATATATGAACACACACACATACACACACACACACACACACACACACACACACACATACCATGTGTGTCATAAGACAATTATTAGGTAAAAAAAGACAAGTTGACCAAGCAGTATTCAGCTTGTGTTAGTGTCTGCTTTTCATGGATGTGTGTGTACAGGCATGTGCATGTGCATGCATGTATATGTGTGTGCATGTATAGAATGCTTGTGAAAGCATACACACAACTCTATTAGCAATGGTAGTAGAGAACTTACAGGCAGAAGTTACAGGCAAAGAGAGTATCTTTGTTTACATTGTTCGCTATGATTTGATTTTTTTACCATGTATATGTATTATTTTTTAATTAACAAAACAAGGTAAAGGAATCAATAAATCAGTATGTGCTACCATAGAGCACTCACCAAGATAAATGATTGGGAAGAAAATTCAGGGTACAGATAGAACAAATGTTCCCATTTGTTTAAAAAGACATAAAGGGGGCCTGGGAAGGTGGCTCAGAGGTAGAGGTAGAGTGCTTGCCTTGCATGCATGAAGCCCTGGGTTTGATTCCTCAGCACCACATAAGCAGAAAAGCCAGAAGTGGCGCTGTGGCTCAAGTGGTAGGGTGCTAGCATTGAGCTGAAGAGCTGAGGGACAGCACCCAGACCCAGAGTTCAGGCTCCATAACCGACAAAAAAAAAAAGACATAAAGGGGACATGCCGGTAATCAATGAAGAGGATGCAGCGGGAGGATCATATGTTTGAGACCAGCCTGGGGGAAAAAGAAAAAGAAAAAAGACATAATGATATATATATAGATATAGATATAGATATAGATATAGATATATGTTACACATAGAAAAGCTTATAGTTATAGACAATTATACTAATATCTATGATTTGTTTAACACTAGGGAGTTTGGACTCTG